GATGTACTGAATAATTTTTCTAAACGTATTGAAAGGATTAGATTACTTAGTGCTAATGTTAGTCATTAATTACTAATTCCCCGAGTTCGTTCAGAGATGGAGTTGTTCGTTGGAACATTCCGCGCAAAAACGGGCAGATAGATGTGTCTCTGGAGACCCACCAAAAGAACAAAGAAAGGATATCGGTGAAAATATCTATGATTTCTGGTCTTCAGCAGGTGTTGAAGGTTCATTTAATGCATATTTAAATCATTTGAAGTTCAGAAATTTTTCTGATAGAAACACGTCTTTAGCGTGTACGAAAGTCGGATCAAAAAATGAATAAATGATGAAGTCTAAAAAATGAAATCTTCTTTCCAGCTCTAAGAAGATATGCTGGTACAAAAGCCGGTGAAAGTTGGTGGTCAGAACTTCCGAAACGATACGGATCTAATCCTTCAAATAATTTGACTGCTCAAGTTTCCAGACAAGATGTTTTGCATTTCACACAGGTAAAAAGATTTTATAGGAAGAGTTCAATCCATTCGATACTTTCCAAAAGTGTTTCAAATTCGAATAAATCATGCTACACTTCATATTAAATGTGATAAAATTTCGAAGGCATTCAGTAATATTTTTGCATATATAAGTCAACTGATATTTCTGCTGCAAGGTGTGTCATACTCAAGAAATGTCAGAGACTTCAGTTGATTACAAGCTTAAAATGTAATGCCTTCCCAACTTATCACTCTAAACTTGAGATAGTAGGTGGACTGCTAACAGTTATAAGCATAAATTCATGAGATCTCGAAAAAAACATTCGAAAAATTGGAACAGCTCAGTGCAACATTTAGTTAAGCATACTTTCTGTAAAGGCAAAGATTGATCGGCTTTTTTTCTTGATTTGTATCAAGCAAGATGTGGGAAGTCATTTCTCAAGCCAAAATGTTGAGCTAAAATGTTGCTTTTGGAGCAATTCTAGAAATTCAACCTTGATTTGAAGGGTAAAGTTGAATATTAATTTGGATGACCTATATATTCAGGGAATAGACTACTGTAAATTTTGTTTGTAACGTTTATATTCAGATGGCTTGGGGTAAAACGTACAAAATTGGCTGTGGTATTGCTACAAAGTGCAATGGTGGCAGGAAACTGATGGTCGTTTGCCATTATCGGCCAGCGTAAGCTTTT